ATCTCACACCAGAAGCGACTTGCAGTTTCTCACGTCACTCCTGACTCCCCAAAAATGAGCCCTGCAACATTTGGCATTTTGGTGAGGAAGGGAGAGGATGGAGATAGGAATTACGATGATGGAAAAGGGTTGAAAGAGTCGGTCAACATTTTTGGAAACATGATTCCAACTCTAAAGAATGAGAATTGGAAAGATCAACCAAGACTGAACCACTTGGAGGTTGCTTTCTTCTTGGTTAGAGATCTTCACCCAAGAGGAGCCATGTTTGCTCACCTTTCCTGCCCATAAAAAGCCATGGAAGCCAATGGCACCAATGGGTTGCTGTGAGTTTTCTGGGCTGTATGGCCATGTTCCAGAAGCATTCTCTCTTGACGTTTTGCCCACATCTATGGCAGACATCCTCAGAGGTTGTGAGGTCTATTAGAAACGAGGCAAGTGGGGTTTATATATCTGTGGAATGATGTCCAGGGGGGGAGAAAGAACTCTTGTCTGCTTGATACAAGTGTGAATGTTTTTCCCCCCACCCTGGACATTCCAGATATATAAACCCCATTAGTATTGAATGGCCTTGCAGCTTCAAAGCCTGTTTGCTTCCTGCATGGAGGCATCCTTTGTTAGGAGGTGTTAGCTGGCCATGATTGTTTCATGTCTGGAATTCCCCAGGACCAGCAAACACTTCTCAAAAAGAATTCCCCCAATCAAGAAGCAGCCAGGCTTTGACGCTGAAAGGCTATTCATGGCTAATCAAGGTGGCCAATTGCAATATTCACACTTGCCTCAAGCAGACAAGAGTTCTTTCTTCCACCCTGGACATAATTCCACAGATATATAAACCCCACTTGCAGAGTTTCCAACAGACCTCACAACCTCTGAGGATGTCTGCCATAGATGTGGGTGAAATGTCAGGAGAGAATGCTTCTGGAACAAAGACATACAGCCCAGAAAACTCACAGTGGTGCTGATGTGAATTGCAGCAATGCACCACAGCCCACGATGCAAGATGTCTCCCAATGCACAACTAAAGTGGTTCTGGGAGCAGTTGTCCCCCAAATGAACTTCTCCAAGCTTTGGTGGAATGTACTTTGCTCTTGGTTGCATATATGTTCATGTCCTCTCTGTGCAATCCATGCAACACAACATATGGGATGAGTAGTTTAGCTGCAAAGTAGTATCCGTTCATGTGCAAAAGCAGTGACCGTAGTGGTCAAGTGTCCACCACGTGTGGAGTCCTACATGTTTAAGATTGTGGCGTGCAAAGGGAAAGAGGGGGTCATCTAGCATATGCGCACACAGCCCATAGTCCTGATGTGTCTTATCCGTGCCTTTGTCAAACCGCACACGCATTGACTTCAATGGCCTTGTGCCATATTTCCATGCAAGAGTGGAATTATATTCGGTTTTCCCCGAACTGCGCAAACAACCTCCACCCTGTGCATTGTCCTCCTTTCCTGGCGCATGAGTCGCATCTCTTCTAATGGACGTTGTGGGGAAATAGCATGATTTGTGTGTTGCATGTGACTTTCAAAACCGTTGTGGTGCCGGTGTTTGTGTCCGTAAGGTGTCCTCCTCCTCAGTATCTCCAAATCCTTTCTGAAGGCATCTGGAGAGGTTCCCTCATCCTGCTTTCGTCTCCATGCTTAGTATGTCAGATGCTTCCAAACCCCAGTCCATACCAATAGCCTGGACGACAGAAATAGAGACAAGATAGATAGATAGATAGATAGATAGATAGATAGATAGATAGATAGATAAAGAAAGAGAAATGAGAGAGAAAGAGATAGCGCAAAATGATTGGATAGATGGGTGTGTGGTTGGAGATGATCTTGGAGAAGATTGAGAAAGAATGGCTAATGATAGAACAGGAGAGAGAGAGAGAGAGATGGCAGAGAAAGAGACAGAATGGATAGAGCTAGGAGAGACTAGAGAGAGAAATACATCAGAAAAACTAGATGGATGGGTTTATGGATGGATAGATGATTGAGAAAGAGACAGAGTGGATAGAAATTGATAGATGATGATATAGATAGATAGATAGATAGTTTATATGTTTATACCCTGCTTTTTCTCTCTACAAATGAGTAGTACTCCACTACTATTTTGTAGTAGCTGCTACTACTACTAAATAATAAATAGATGATAGGCAAGAGAGAGAGAGAAACAGATAGTAGATAGATAATAGGAGCGTGTGGAAAAAACAGGATAGATAGAGAGATGTTGATAGACAAGGAAACAAAATGGATAGAGGTAGATAGAACAATCTAGATAGAAGAAAGAGAAAGAGTAGACGGAGCAGATGATAGTTGAGAGAAGAAGATAGAGCAGATAGGGGAGAGAGAAGATAGATGGAGCACATGATAGGAGAGAAAAGGGAGAGAGATCAGTAGAGCAATAGAAGAGGATAGATAGAGCAGATGATAGAAGAGAGAGGAGAAGATAGATTAGATAGATAGATAGATAGATAGATAGATAGATAGATAGATAGAGCAGATGATAAGAAAGAGAAGAGAAAGATATAAATAGGTCAATAGAAGAGAGTAGATAGATAGCTATATAGATAGAGCAGATGATAGAAGAGAGAGAGAAGAAAATATATTAGATAGAGAGATATATATCAATAGAAGAGAGATAGATAAAGCAGATTATAGGAGAGAGAAGTTATATATATATAAATAGATCAATAGAAGAGAGAAGATAGATGATAGAGCAGGTGATAGAAGAGAGAGAGAAGATAGATTAGATCGTTAGATTGAGAGACAGACAGACAAAGCAGATGATAGATAGAGAAAGAAAGAAAGAAAGAAAGAAAGAAAGAAAGAATGAGCCGATGATAACAGACAGATAGATAGATAGAATGATAGATAGATAGATAGATAGATAGATAGATAGATAGATAGATAGATAGATAGATAGATATAGATAGATAGATAGATAGATAGATAGATAGACAGACAGACAGACAGATAGATATGGCAGATGATATGGGAGAGAGAAGTATAGCAGAGAGAGAGAGAGAGAAGATAGATAGATAGATAGATAGATAGATAGATAGATAGATAGATAGATAGATAGATAGATAGAGAAGAAGAGAGAGATGAAAATAGATTAGATAGAGGAAGAGAGAGAGAGAGATCAATAGATCAATAGAAGAGAGAAGATAGAGCAGATGATAGAAGAGAGCGAGAAGAAAACAGATTAGAGAGGGAGATAGATAGATAGATAGATAGATAGATAGATAGATAGAGATAGAGCAGATGATAGAAGAGAGACATATCAATAGATCAATAGAAGAGAGTAGGTAGATAGATAGATAGATAGATAGATAGATAGATAGATAGAGCAGATTATAGAAGAGAGAAGAAAATAGATTAGATAGAAAGATCAATAGAAGAGAGAAGATAGAGCAGATGATAGAAGAGAAGAAGACAGATTAGAGAGAGAGAGCAGATGATAGAAGAGAGACATATCAATAGATCAATAGAAGATAGCAGATAGATAGATAGATAGATCAGATGATAGAAGAGAGAGAAGAAAATAGATTAGATAGAGAGAGATCAATAGATCAATAGAAGAGAGAAGACAAAGCAGATGATAGAAGAGAGAGAGTAGATAGATAGAGCAGATGGTAGGAGAGAGAAGAGATATATATAAATAGATGAATAGAAGAGAGAAGATAGATAGATGATAGATAGAGCAGATGAGAGAAGAGAGAGAAGATAGATTATATCATTAGATTGAGACAGACAGAGTAGAGGAGATAGAGAAAGAAACAAAGAAAGAGAGAGCAAATGATAGAAGAGAGAAAAATATAAGATGGATGGATGGAGCAGATGATAGGAGAGAAGTATAGCAGATAGGAGAGAGAGAGTAGATAGATAGATAGATAGATAGATAGATAGATAGATAGATAGATAGATAGACAGACAGATAGTAGTGAATAGATAGATAGATAGATAGAGAGATAGATAGATAGATAGATAGATAGATAGATAGATAGATAGATGGGACGATGATAGAAGAGAGAGAGAGAAAAGAATAAGATGGATGGATGGATGGAGCAGATGATAGGAGAGAGAGAGAAGTATAGCAGATAGGAGAGAGAGTAGATAGATAGATAGATAGATAGATAGATAGATAGATAGATACGATAATAGAAGAGAGAGAGAAAAGAATAAGATGGATGGATGGACAGAGCAATTGATTGAGAGTAGAAGATAGATAGATAGATAGATAGATAGATAGATAGATAGATAGATAGATAGATAGATAGATAGAGCAGGTGGATATGAAAGAAATCAACAGACAGATCTGTAGGATTAGCCGTCTTCTCAGCCCAAAGATTGTGTGTCAACTCTGAGCAGATTTCCAGGGCTCTGATTCCAAAGGGCAGAAAAGAGCAGCGTTTGCTGTTTGTTTTCTCTCTCTGGAGGGCAGGCCTAGGAGGAACATGGAGTGACCCAGTCAGAAGGCATTGTGAAGATGTCCTTTTGCAGGCATCCAGGGAGGAGGGGAGAGAGAAGAGAATCCCTGCCGAGGTCCCAGCCGCTGTGTTTTCCTTCTGATCCGACAGTGATGGTTTCTGCCTGTACATTCTGATCCACTTGCCTTTGGCCCCAGCCGAAGGGCTTGCCAAGAAAACTTTGGCTGGAAAGAAATATTTCAAAGGCCAAGGCTAAGGAATGAAGAATGAAGGGTGACTCTTGTCTTGAGACCCATCTGTATTTTTCTTGTGCTTAGCCATAGAAACCTAGTGGGTAACCTTGGGTGAGTCACATTCTCTCAGCTTAAGGAAATACCATGATAGGGTCACCCCATTGGAGACGTATAGTGGCTCCATATATCATCCACAATTCTTCCTATCTTCCCTCCATATACAGTTTGGTACCTTTCTGCCAGAAAGGGATCTTCTAGATGACCGCAAGGGCCCCCTTTGCAGCATGCATTGCCCCTTGAGTTTTGGGAGAGGCTCTTAACGACTGTGTCTTCACCCCCTTTCTTCCCAGAAGCTCAGAGACGGCCATACTACGCTGACTACTCGCCCGTCCGGAGGTACATCCACACGCTTTGCACCAGCCACTACCTGGACCTCTTCATCACCTTCATCATCGGCGTCAACGTCATCACCATGTCCATGGAGCACTTCAACCAACCCAAGGTACGGCCCTGGGTTTGAATCCCTCTTTATTAAATATGCAGTGCTCTTGTCTGGGTTGCTGTGGGTTTTCGGAACTATATGGCCATGTTCCGGAAGCATTCTCTCCTGACGTTCTGTCTGCATCTATGGCAGGCATCCTCAGAGGTTGTGAGGTCTTGATGAACCAACCTGAACACAGCATATTCCTTGAGAAGACAGAAATGTTGGACCACTCTAACAACTAACATTTCAAACTACACAGAGAAGCCATTGAAACCCACAAGCATGTGGACAATTTCAACAGAAAGGAGGAAACCATGAAAATGAACAAAATCTGGCTTCCAGTATTTAAAAAAAACTCTAAAATCAGGACAGTAAATAAAGAACATCCCTCAGAAAACAGGAGAATTCCTGACAGGAAACAGTCAGGGCCAGCTAACACCTCCCAACAAAGGATTCCCCCAAACAGGAAGCAGCCAGACTTTGGAGCTGCAAGGCTATTCAATGCTAATCAAGGTGGCCGATTGCAACATTCACATTTGCCTCAAGTAGACAAGAATCATAGAAGAGACCTCATGGGCCATCCAGTCCAACCCCCTACCAAGAAGCAGGAATATTGCATTCAAAGCACCCCTGACAGATGGCCATCCAGCCTCTGTTTAAAAGCCTCCAAAGAAGGGGCCTCCACCAGACTCCAGGGCAGAGAGTTCCACTGCTGAACAGTTCTTTCTCCCACCCTGGACATCATTCCACAGATATATAAACCCCAATTGCCTAGTTTCCAACAGACCTCACAACCTCTGAGAATGCCTGCCATAGATGTGGGTGAAACATAAGGAGAGAATGCTTCTGGAAGATGGCAATACAGCCCTGAAAACTCACAGCAAACCAGTGATTCTGGCCATGAAAGCCTTCGACCACACTTGAGATACCCTTTGTTTATTTCCTTGCAGTCGCTGGACGAAGCCTTAAAGTACTGTAACTACGTCTTCACCATCGTGTTTGTGATCGAAGCTGTGTTGAAACTGGTCGCATTTGGGTTTCGGAGATTTTTCAAAGACAGGTCTGATGTGCAAAGTCTTCAAAGATTTCTGCTCCATTCACAAAAATTGAGCTTTTGGGGCCATGAGATCCCTCTGGATCCCTCTGCCTTTCGTTCTGCAAACCGGCTCTTGGCTTCTTCCCCTTCTTTAGGTGGAACCAGCTGGACCTGGCCATCGTCCTCTTGTCCATCATGGGCATCACCTTGGAGGAGATCGAGATGAATGCAGCACTGCCCATCAACCCCACCATCATCCGCATCATGCGTGTGCTGCGCATCGCCAGGGGTGAGCCAGGGCAGGACTCGACAGAGGAAGGAAGGAAGGAAGGAAGGAAGGAAGGAAGGAAGGAAAGAAGGAAAGAAGGAAGGAAAGGAAGGAAAGAAAAGGGCATAGAAGGAAGGAAAGAGAGGAAGGAAGGGGAAAGAAGAAGGAGAGAGAAAGAAGAGAGGGAGGGAAGATTGAGAAGGGTGTAGGAGGGAGGGAGGGAAGAGAGGAGAAAAAAGAGAGAGGAGGAGGAAAAGAAAGAAAGAAGGAAGGAGAGAGAGAGAAGGGTATAGGAGGGAGGGAAGAGCAGAAGGAGGGGAAGGAAAGGAAAGAAGGGAGTAGGGAAAGAAAAAAGAAAGGAAAGAGAGAAGAGTGTAAGAGGAAGGAATGAAGAAAGGAAAGAGAAAAGTAAAGAATGATAGGAAAGAAGAAAGAAGATGAGTGAGTGAGTGAGTGAGTGAGGGAGGAAAGAAGAAGGGAAAGAGGGGAGAAAAGAAGAAGGAAGGAAGGAAGAGAAGGAAGGAAGGAAGGAGAAAGAAGGGCATAGGTGGGAGGTAAGAAGAGAAAGAAGAGAGAGGAGGAAGAAGGGAGGGAGAGAGAAGGAGGAGAGAAGGAAGGAGGGAGGGAAGGACAGAAGAGAGAAAGGAAAGATGGAAAGAGAGGAAGGAAAAGGAAAGAGAGAAAGGAGGAGGAAGGAAGGAGAAGGAGAAGAAAAAGAAGAAGAGAGGAAAAAAAGGGAGAAGAGAGGAGAAGAAGAGAGAGGAGAAAGAAGAAAAAGAAGGAAGGAGAGGAAGAGGAAAGAAGGAGAAAGAAAGAAGAAGAAAAGGAAAGAAAGGGGTGAGGAAGAAGAAGAAAGGAAAGAAAAAAGGAAAGGGATAGAAAGAAAGATGAGAAAGAGAAAAAAGAAAAGGAAAGAAGGAATGAAAGAGAGAAGGAAGGAAGGAGAGGAAGAAAAGGAAAGAATGAGAGAAAGAAGAAAAGGAAAGAAGGAATGAAAGAGAGAAGGAAGGAAGGAGAGGAAGAAAAGGAAAGAATGAGAAAGAAGGAATGAAAGAGAGAAGGAAGGAAGGAGAGGAAGAAAAGGAAAGAATGAGAGAAAGAAGAAAAGGAAAGAAGGAATGAAAGAGAGAAGGAAGGAAGGAAGGAAGGAAGGAAGGAAGGAAGGAAGGAGAGGAAGAAAAGGAAAGAATGAGAGAAAGAAGAAAAGGAAAGAAGGAATGAAAGAGAGAAGGAAGGAAGGAAGGAGAAGGAAGGAAGAGAAGGAAGGAAGGAAGAAGAGGAAGGAAAAAGGAAGAAAGAGAAGAAGAGGAAAGAGAAAGGAGGGAGGGAGAACAGAAAGAAAGGGAGACAAACAAGGGAGGGGTTTAAGGAAACAGAGATCTAACGAGGGTCAATGAAGAAATGGCAGAAGGAAGGAGATGGGAGAGCAAAGGACAAGGCAAGGGAAGAGGGTGTGCAAAACATGATTGGCAGGTGGTTTCTGACCCAAAGGACAACTGCCCATTGCCAGAATAAAGAGGCCCCATTCCTGGCATACAGGGCTGCATCCTTTGGCCCACAAGCCACTTTTACAGGCTTCAAGTTGTGCGGGGAGGTCCCTTGCATGGAAAGGAAGCTGCTCCCTGGCTTGGAGGGCTCTGTGGTGGTCTGATGGGGGCTTGCCTTTGCTTTGCAGTGCTGAAGCTGCTCAAAATGGCCACCGGGATGCGGGCCCTGCTGGACACCGTGGTCCAAGCCCTCCCTCAGGTAAGTCGGGGCCTCAGGTGAGCTGTTATTTTCAATGGAACGAAGGACACCTGCCTCTCGTAGGGAAAACCTCAAGTGGAGAAGCAATACCAAGAATACACTAGTGCACAGGCATGGGCAAACTTCGGCCCTCCGGGTGTTTTGGACTTCAACTCCCACAATTCCTAACAGCTTCAGGCCCTTTCCTTTTCGCCCTCAGCCACTTAAGAAAAGGAAAGGACTTGAGGCTGTTTGGAATTATGGGAGTTGAAGTCCAGAACACCCAGAGGGTCAAGGTTTGCCTACACTAGACCAAGGCTTTCCAAGCTGTGTGTCAGAAGGAGGAGGAAGAAGAGGCCCTCAAAGGGCATCCAGTCCAACCCCCTTCAGCCAGGCAGGATGACACAGTCAAAGCTTTCCCAACAGACAGTCATTTGGCCTCAATTCAAACACCTCCAGACCCCACTGGAAGAGACCCCCAAAGGACATCGAGATGAATGCAGCACTGCCCATCAACCCCACCATTATCCGCATCCTGCGTGTGCTACGTATCGCCAGGGGTAGTCTCACCCTTTCAGCCAGGAAGCAAGGCACAGTCAAAGCCCTCCCAACAGACAGTCATCCAGCCTCAGTTCAAACTCCTGCAGAGAAGGAGACTCCACTGGAAGAGACCCCCAAAGGACATCTAGTCTCGCTCCTTCAGCCAGGCAGGAAGGCATAGTCAAAGCCCTCCCAACAGACAGTCATCCAGCCTCAGTTCAAACTCCTGCAGAGAAGGAGACTCCACTGGAAGAGACCCCCAAAGGACATATAGTCTCACTCCTTCAGCCAGGCAGGAAGACACAGTTAAAGCCCTCCCAACAGACAGTCCAAACACCTCCAGAGAAGGAGACTCCACTGGAAGAGACCCCAAAGGACATCTAGTCTCACCCCTTCAGCCAGGCAGGAAGGCACAGTCAAAGCCCTCCCAACAGACAGTCATCCAGCCTCAGTTCAAACACCTCCAGAGAAGGAGACTCCACTGGAAGAGACCCCAAAGGACATCTAGTCTCACCCCTTCAGCCAGGCAGGAAGGCACAGTCAAAGCCCTCCCAACAGACAGTCATCCAGCCTCAGTTCAAACACCTCCAGAGAAGGAGACTCCACTGGAAGAGACCCCAAAGGACATCTAGTCTCACCCCTTCAGCCAGGCAGGAAGGCACAGTCAAAGCCCTCCCAACAGACAGTCATCTAGCTTCAGTTCAAACACATCCAGAGAGGGAGACTCCACTGGAAGAGACCCCAAAGGACATCTAGTCTCACCCCTTCAGCCAGGCAGGAAGGCACAGTCAAAGCCCTCCCAACAGACAGTCATCCAGCCTCAGTTCAAACTCCTCCAGAGAAGGAGACTCCACTGGAAGAGACCCCTAAAGGACATCTAGTCTCACCCCTTCAGCCAGGCAGAAAGACACAGTCAAAGCACCTCTGGATGACTATCCAGCCTCCATTTAAAAATCTTCAGAGAAGGAGGTTCCACTGGGCTCCCAGACAGTCTATACTTGACTAGAGTTGGGAGGGACCCCCAAAGGGCATCTAGTCCAACCTCCTTCAGACAGGCAGGAAAAGCACGATCAAAGCCCCCTGGATGGCCATCTGTTCAAAAACCTCCTGAGTGGTTTAATCCTTACAAAAGTACAGAAATTTCCAAACTTCATTTATATAGTGAAGGTTATATGAAACTTATATATAATGCATATATTATATGTATTATATATTGCTTGGAACTCTTAATAAGGGACTGGCTTATTCTCCAGATTGCTAGTGAAACTGTTTACCGTGTCATGAAAGGATGCATGCCTCAAAAACATGTCCCCAAGATGGAAAGTTTGGAAAGCTCTGCAAGACACAAATGTGCATCTGTTTTGCAACTCTTGCACCACAGATTCAGCCAAGTTGAATTTACCAACTCTAGCAACCAAATTGATTATTGCAATGTTATATTATTATTATTATTATTATTATTATTATTATTATTATTATTCCAAAAGTCCATGAATGTTCATGGACCGTCACCCACATCAAGAACCCAACCCAAATTGGGAGGGATAGCCAATAGTCCAGAGGACAGGAGCAGAATTCAAAACGATCTTGACAGATTAGAGAGATGAATGGGCCAAAACTAACAAAATGAAGTTCAACAGTGACAAATGCAAGATACTCCACTTTGGCAGAAAAAATGAAATGCAAAGATACAGAATTGGTGACGCCTGGCTCGAGAGCAGTACGTGTGAAAAAGATCTTGGAGTCCTCGTGGACAACAAGTTAAACATGAGCCAACAATGTGATGTGGCGGCAAAAAAAGCCAATGGGATTTTGGCCTGCATCAATAGGAGCATAGTGTCGATCTAAGGAAGTAATGCTACCCCTCTATTCCGCTTTGGTTAGACCACACCTGGAATATTGTGTCCAATTCTGGGCACCACAATTCAAGAGAGATATTGACAAGCTGGAATGTGTCCAGAGGAGGGCGACTAAAATGATCAAGGGTCTGGAGAACAAGCCCTATGAGGAGCGGCTTAAGGAGCTGGGCATGTTTAGCCTGAAGAAGAGAAGGCTGAGAGGAGATATGATGAAGGCCATGTGTAAATATGTGAGAGGAAGCCACAGGAGGAGGGAGCAAGCTTGTTTTCTGCTTCCCTGGAGACTAGGATGCAATGGAACAATGGCTTCAAACTACAAGAGAGGAGATTCCATCTGAACATGAGGAAGCACTTCCTGACTGTGAGAGCCGTTCAGCAGTGGAACTCTCTGCCCCGAGTGTGGTGGAGGCTCCTTCTTTGGAAGCTTTTAAACAGAGGCTGGATGGCCATCTGTCAGGGGTGATTTGAATGCAATATTCCTGCTTCTTGGCAGGGTTGGACTGGATGGCCCATGAGGTCTCTTCCAACTCTTTGATTCTATGATTCTATGATTCTATGATTCCTTTTCCAAGAGAGTGAACTCATCTGTAGGAGATGAAGGTGAAAACCATGAAAAGCCAACACAGCTTGCTATGCAAATCTGGGAGTGCGTTGACTTTGCATAATTTATGCAGGATTTTCTCCGGAGGACTTTTCCATTGCTTGCTGTATTTGCCCAAGCGTTGAATGTACACAGTGGCATCCGAGGTGGATTTCTAGCGTAACTTGGCCCATCTCAGTTGGGAAGAAAATCCTCTTGCCAATGTTAACGATTCAGTGCGCAAAGCCATGCGCCGCAATGTTTCCTCCTCCTCCCTCATATCCCAAAGGCTGTCCATTTGCAGCTTTATTCAGTCAGTCAAGGGCAGCAAGCAAGAGATGAGAAGTCTCTGTGATAGAGTAATGCCTACATTGAGATGTATAGGTCACCTCCAGGGCTTGGAATTGAGCCTGGAAACAGACCAGCAACCTGGATGTGGGTGAACTATAACTCCCAAACCTGTTGCAGTAAGGGAGTTTGGGGACCCCTTGGCAATCAACTCCTCCATCCAATGGCTCTTATTGTACACTCGTGATGCCTGGCTTAGGGATTCTGTAATGCTGCTTATTAGACATTGTGTTTGTTTGGTTTTGCATTTTCATAATTGCCCCCATATGGCTCTTTGGTAGTAGCATACACATAGGCTCCCTTTGTCGGTAGGGTTCACAATGCTCTGTGATTGTAGGTGAACTACAACTTCCATCATCAAGTAAATCTCTCCCCCCTCCCCACCAAACCTAACAAGTATGTTAAGATGGCCATGATGGATATTTGTGCCAAGTTTGGTCTAGATCACTCGTCACAATGCTGTTTGGTTGTGAGTGAACTACAGATCCCAAACTCATGGGTTCTTTTCTCCCCCAAACTCTGCCAGCATTCAAAGTTTGTCCTGTTGGGTCTGTGTGCCAGGTTTGGTCCGGATTCATTGTCGGTTGGGTTCTTGATGTGGGTGAACTATAACTCCCAACCTCATGGGTGAATTTCCTGCAAAACCAGTCAGTATTAAGTTGGTCCAGTTGGGTCTGTGTGCCAGGTTTGGTCCAGATCCATCATCGGTTCAGCTCACAGTGCTCTCTGGATGTGAGTGAACTATAACTCCCGACCTCATGGTTCAACCCCGCCCCCCCCCCTAAAAAAAAACCCCTTTGTCAGTATTCAAATTTAGCCATGTTGGGTTTGTATGCCAGGTTTGGTTCAGATTCATTGTCGATTGGGTTCTTGATCCAGGTGAACTATAACTCCCAACCTTATGGGTCAATGCCTCCCAAACCCAGTCAGTACTAAAGTGGTCCTGTTGGGTCTGTGTGCCAGGTTTGGTCCAGATCCATCATTGGTTCAGCTCACAGTGCTCTCTGGATGTGGGTGAACTATAACTCCCAACCTCATGGGTTAATCTCCCCCCCCCCCCAAAGAAAAGCTCCAACCAGTATTCAACATTAACCATGTTGGGTCTGTGTGCCAGATTTGGTTCAGATTCATTGTTGGTTTGATTCTTGATGTGGGTGAACTATAACTCCCAGCCTTGTGGGTCAATCCCTCCCAAACCCAGTCAGTACTTTAAGTTGGTTCTTTTGGTTCTGTGTGCCAGGTTTGGTCCAGATCCATTGTTGGTTGGGCTCACAGTGCCCTCTAGATGTGGTGAACTATAACTCCTGAACTTGTGGGTCAGTTCCCCCCCCCCACACACACACACACACACACAGACACACACAAACCCTGCCAGTATTTGAAATTAGCCATGTCGGGTCTGTGTACCAGATTTGGTCCAGATCTATTGTTGGTTGGGCTCACAGTGCTCTCTGGATGCAGTGAACTATAACTCCTGACCTCGTGAGTCAGTCAGCCCCCCCCCCCCCCCAGACACACACACACACACATCAAACCCTGCCAGTATTTGAAATATGCCATATTGGGTCTGTGCACCTGTTTTGGTCCAGATCCATCATCAGTTGGGTGCACAGTGCTTTCTGGATGTGGGTGAACTATAACTCCCAAAATAAAGAACAGTTCCCCACATACCCCACCAGCATTCAAAGTTGGCCATATTGGGTCTGTGTGCCAAGTTTGGTCCAGATCCAATGTCAGTTAGTTCAGACCACTCTCTGGATATGCTGAACTATAACTCCCAAAATAAAGGTCAATTCCCTCCAAAACTTGCCAGTTGTTTCTGTTTGTCATGGGGATGTGTATGTCAAGCTTGGTCGAAATCCATTGTCGATGTGAGCCACAGGGCTCTCCGGAAGTGGGAGCTGTCTCAGGCATTGCTCACAAACATACATACACACAAACATATTTTCATAGTTAGATAGTTAGATCAACACTTGTTTATATAGTTAGATCAACACTTGTTTCTGAAATGTAGACAACTCTCTATTGGCATGAATCCACGTGACCTAATTCTCCATCTTCCTTTTGTTTTTATTAGGTAGGGAACCTTGGCTTGCTGTTCATGCTCCTCTTCTTCATCTACGCCGCGCTGGGAGTGGAGCTGTTTGGGAAGCTAGGTGAGCCCTCCTCCTCCTCCTCCTCCTCCTCCTCCGTCTCTCTCTTTTTCTCCTTCTTTCATTTCCTTTCTTCCGGCCGCAGTGACAGATGCCTTCGTTAATCCCCCGTCTTGGCAGGAAGGACATCTCAAGATGGGAAGAGAGCTCAGGCCTTGGAAAGGTTCCCTTTGGAAAGACTAAAGAGCCCAGAATCGGCCAGCTGGCGTGGCCTTCAAGGGATGCTGGGAACAGCAATCCAAAATGGGAACGGACGGCCATTTGAGAAGCGTGCCTTTGAGGGGTGTCAAGAGATCATGGGACTGAGAGGGACCTAGCAATGAGACATTTCCATGGATTCATACGATTATAGACCTAGATGGGGATCCCAAAGGTCATCTAGTCCTTTTGGAAAGGCATGACCTTTTAGAGCAGTGGTTCTCAACCTTCCTAATGCCGGTACCCCTTAATACAGTCCCTCATGTTGTGGTGACCCCCAACCATATTGTTTTCGTTGCTACTTCATAACAGTCATTTAACTATCATAATGTAAATATCAGATATGCAAGATGTATTTTCATTCACTGGACCAAACTGGGCACAAATACCCAATGCAACCATGTAAATGCTAGTGGGGTTGGGGGAGGATTGATTTTGTAATTTGGGAGTTGTAGTTGCTGGGATTTATAGTTCACCTATAATCAAAGAGCATTCTGAACTCCACCAGTGATGGATTTGAACCTAATTTGCCACACAGAACTCCCATGACCAACAGAAAACACTGGAAGGGTTTGGTGGGTATTGACCTTGAGTTTGGGAGTTGTAGTTCACCTATATCCAGAGAGCACTGTGGACTCACGCAATGGTGGATCTGGACCAAACTTGGCACAAATACTCAATATGCGCAAATGTGAACACTGGTGGAGCCTGGGGAAAATAGACCTTGACTTTGGGGAGTTGTAGTTGCTGGGATTTATAGTTCATTACAATCAAAGAACATTCTGAACTCCACCAATGATAGTATTGTCTCAAACTTCCAACATGGAATCCCCATGACCATCAGAAAATACTGTGTTTTCTGATGGTCTTTGGCGACCCCTCTGACACCCCTTCGCAACCCACTCAGCGGTCCCGACCCCCAGGTTGAGAAACACTCTTTTAGAGATTGTAACTTTTTGGAAAACCAGAATCTCTGTAACCTTTTGGAGAAAAATGGCATTCACATCCATTTGAAAATCATAACCTTTTGGAAAAGTATGATCTTCCAGGGAAGAGCCAAAAAACACATTTGAGTAAAATCTGTGGCGGAATGAAAATCACGCTTAGTTCACGTCTTTACTAATCCACACACTGTCTTGCTAGAGAAAAGATATGCCACGCAGATGATCAGTAAAGAATAAGGTGTTTACTCTTTGTTAAGCAGAGCAACATTGTGTGAGTTGCATTTGAGAGAGATTCAAATGTTCCTTGGGTGTCCATGTGAAGGATGGAGGGTGACTAAAATGATCAAGGGTCTGGAGAACAAGCCCTATGAGGAGCGGCTTAAGGAGCTGGGCATGTTTAGCCTGAAGAAGAGAAGGCTGAGAGGAGATATGATAGCCATGTATAAATATGTGAGAGGAAGCCACAGGGAGGAGGGAGCAAGCTTGTTTTCTGCTTCCCTGGAGACTAGGGCACGGAACAATGGCTTCAAACTACAAGAGAGGAGATTCCATCTGAACATGAGGAAGAACTTCCTGGCTGTGAGAGCCATTCAGCAGCGGAACTCTCTGCCCCGGAATGTGGTGGAGGCTCCTTCTTTGAAAGTTTTTAAACAGAGGCTGGATGGCCATCTGTCAGGGGTGATTTGAATGCAATATTCCTGCTTCTTGGCAGGGGGTTGGACTGGATGGCCCATGAGGTCTCTTCCAACTCTTTGATTCTATGGTTCTATGATCTTCCAGCAGCTCAGAAGCAGAAAATATACTAACTTGTCTTGGCAAGCTTCTGCACAGAAAACCTAAACATGTAACTCTTGCCAAAAACCCCAGGCTCAGCTAGCATCCCAGGCATAGCCCAACCTATCAGCTTCGTGCTTTGCATTTTGCAGTTAACACATTCACCAAATGACTTTTACATGCTCCAACAAAACCTTCTCTTCAGTGTTATATATATCGACTTTTACTTATGCAAGGCAAGTTGGTTTTCAGTTGTTAGACTGACAACCTAGTTTGTTTTGTATGTATTTTACTTTTCCTTATTGTAATTGCTTGGGCTTGGCCCCATGTTAGCCACTCCAAGTCCCTTCAGGGAGACAGTGCGGGATACAAATAAACAAGATCACTCTGCTGGCTGTTGTATTGGATCACACATCGGACACTTCCCAAGTGTCTAGGACTGAGTGATGTATCGGCGAATAATGTGTGCAGATCCCAGTAAGGTGGCCTTGTGCAGCTGGCAGATGGTAATTTTGTCAGCACTGATTTTGTCAGCACTGAACCCAAGATGAGTCCACAGCAAACAAGATCACTCTGCTGGCTGTTGTATTGGATCACACATCAGACACTTCCCAAGCGTCTAGGACTGTGTGATGTATCGGTGAATAATGCGTGCAGATCCCAGTAAGGTGGCCTTTTGCAGCTGGCAGATAGTAATTTTGTCAGTGCTGATTATGTTTAAGTGCAGGCCAAGGTCTTTAGGCATTGCACCCAGTGTGCCGATCACCACTGGGACCACCTTTACTGGCTTGTGCTAGAGTCTTTGCAGTTCGATCAATAATAATCATAAATTGTTGATGTCGTTGTCGTCGTCTCTGATCTGTTAGGAACAGAGATTATGTCAATGCACAAAATATAGCAGTTCTTCAAAAGTGTTCTTGTCAGTGCCCAAAAACATCTACTCTCCCATAAAACATCTTGTTTCTATATCATGCTCTCAAGAGACAAAAATTGAGTAGACTTCGTTAAAAGTAACCTATCTGGTTTACTCACAAACTTCATGTATTCAGCATACAGGTACATAACTTGTCAATCCAGTTACAGATAGGATTTGAAGTACAGTAGAGTCTTGCTTATCCGACATAAACGGGCCGGCAGAACGTCAGATAAATGAAAATGTCAGATAATATGAAGTCTCCTACTGTTACCCTAGAATACTAACAAGGGGGTCTCAAAGGGTTAAGGCAGGTTTCCCTCTCTTCCTGTTCTCTCAGCCCCATTCTTCACTAGGAGTTGTTTGTAAGTCGGATGTTTGTAAGTCGGGAATGTCAGTTTTGAATTGAGGCTTGATCTCATTTCAATTTCCATTCCCCGCCCCCTTTTTTTCTCACAAATCCTCAGACTGCAGTGAGGACAACCCTTGCGAAGGCCTCAGCCGCCACGCCACTTTCAACAATTTTGGGATGGCTTTCCTGACCCTCTTCCGGGTCTCGACCGGAGACAACTGGAACGGCATCATGAAGGTGAGGCAACGTTTCCCCAAATACAGTATTGGAAATTCCGTAACCTCTTGGAAATAAGTGCACCATAACCGTATTGAAAAGGTAAACATGATGTCACATCCATTTGGCAAACGTGAATCTCCACGACCATGTCAAGAAAAGCATGACCCTGTTAGAAGTCAACCCTTTGAACACCTATGTGATGCATAAGCATTCATGTAATGGCACACAGGTAACTCAGCTGTTAAACTGAAGAACCATGTCTTTAAACTGCCAAAGAGAAAGACATGTCACTACAAAAATATATTGGGTTAGCAGATGGTTGTTTCTTTGAAGATGAAATTTGCAGTTGTAATTGTAACTGCAATTTCCCAAAAGATAGATAGATAGATAGATAGATAGATAGAGAGATAGATAGATAGACAGACAGACAGACAGACAGACAGACAGACATCGACACATACACACACACACACACACACACACACACACACACAAAATCACCTCCACTGAAGTGTGATTCACACTGAATACAAATGGAGTCCTGAGTCTGAAGCCTCTCCCACACCAAAGAGGTACAGTCAAACTGGCAAACCAAAATGTACATGCAATATAGGTTAACAATTATACACATTTACAAACAGTTAGGGGAAGCTTGAAAGGTTGCTACTTCCAACATACAGCTTTCACCTGGGATTGGAGCCTCCTGAATCTGACTCCGGGGAGATCGAGACGAAACAAAACAACCTGTATCTTGGGCTCATTCAAGACGTATGTTGTGGATCTATGTTGTCAGGAAGGATTCTATAGGTTGCATTGAGGGAACTCTCCATAGTCCTGAATCTATGTAACGGTCCCAAAGGGGTTGGAGCAGGCATGGGAAAAACTTGGGCCCTCCAGGTGTTTTGGACTTCAACTCCCACAATTCCTAACAGCCTCAGGCCCCTGGGAGTTGAAGTTCAAAACACCTGGAGAGTCGGCATTCGCCTTTGCCTGCTGTAGACCAAGGCTTTCCAAACTGTGTGTCAGGAGGAGGACGCTCTCAAAGGGCATCCAGTCCAACCCCCCTGAGCCAGGCAAGAAGACACAGTCAAAGCCCTCCCAACAGACAGTCATCCAGCCTCAGTTCAAACACCTCCAGAAAAGGAGACTCCACTGGAAAAGACCCCCAAAGGACATCTAGTCTCACCCCTTCAGCCAGGTAGGAAGACACAGTCAAAGCCCTCCCAACAGACAGTCAAACAGCCTCAGTTCAAACACCTCCAGAAAAGGAGACTCCACTGGAAGAGACCCCCAAAAGACATCTAGTCTCACCCCTTCAGCCAGGTAGGAAGACACAGTCAAAGCCCTCCCAACAGAAAGTRATCCAGCCTCAGTTCAAGCACCTCCAGAGAGYGAGACTCCACTGGAAAAGACCCCCAAAGGACATTTAGTCTCATCCCTTCAGCCAGGCAGGAAGACACAGTCAAAGCCCTCCTGACAGACAGTCATCCAGCCTCTGTTCAAACACCTCCAGAGATGGAGACTCCACTGGAAGAGACCCCCAAGTTTGCCCATGCCTGTATTAGACCTACAAGACCATTTAGGAAGCTCTCCACAGCATTGAATCTATGTGGTAAAGGTCCTAATATAGTCATCCAAGGTGCTGATTCTACAAGCATTATTTAGGGAGCTCACAAGGTGTTTTTAATTGTTATTATATTTAATCCTTCATTATTATTTTTTGTAATATTTATTTCAAAACGTATGAAAGACAGTATAATGGTCTTGTCCCATCATCTATAGTGCTATCATCCATATCCTATTTAACCAATTCTCAATTGATTGATTCTTGAGCTTTTCCCAGGTTCTGAAGTCCACTTTAGTTCCAATGGGTCCATTTGGGGCCCATATCAGATAGTGTTGACGACTAAATAATGACCTGGGAAACAGGAGAATGAAGTAGAGGAGATGTCCGAGAATGTCCGCCCTGACGCTTTCCTTCCCCATGACTTTTGTGGCAGGACACGCTCCGCGAATGCCACCGGGACGACAAACATTGCCTCAGCTACCTGCCCTTCATCTCCCCGGTCTATTTTGTCACCTTCGTCCTGATTGCCCAGTTTGTGCTGGTCAATGTGGTGGTGGCTGTCCTGATGAAGCACCTGGAGGAGAGCAACAAGGAGGCCAAGGAGGATGCCGAGATGGATGCTGAGATTGAGCTGGAGATGTCCCGGGGGGCCGTCACCCCCGTCCGAGGCCCTGAAAGTGGACCAGCCACCCCCAGGATTGGCTCCCCACTCCTGGCAAAACACCCAGTCCTGGTAAAAGCATATAGCTGGCCTTTCCGGAGGCCACGGAGAGGGAGGGCGCTTGGGGTAGAGGGAAAGGAGATCCACCAGTGGTCTCTTCCAACTCTACGGGTTTAACTGTATAATCCTTGTTGAGACAGTGTGGAGAAAATGATCCACTGCTGCATTGTGATGGATTCAATCCAATCAGTGAGTAGATTGAAGTAGAACTGTTTGAGAAACTGCTGGATGAGAAATGGGCCCAAATGTCATTGATCCACTGGGTGCAAGATGTCGAGCTCAAGAAAAGTACATTTGAGCACAGGTTCTCTTTGAAGCCTTTGCCAATGGTGGTTGGCATTGATTCAATGGGTGTAAGTCATAGATTCAATGGGTGCAAAACTTTAGAGAAGCACGTATGAGCACAAGTTCCTCCTTTCCTTCCTTCTTTGCTTCCTCACTCCCTCCCTTGCTTTCTTTGAAGCCTTTGTCAATGGTGATTGCCATTGATTCAGTGGATGTATGTCTTTGATTCAAAGGGTGCAAGACTTCAGAGAAGCACATTTGACCACAGGTTCTCCCCTTCCTTCCTTCCTTCCTTCCTTCCTTCCTTCCTTCCTTCCTTCCTTCCTTCTCTCTCTTTCCTTACTTTCTTTCTTTCTTTCTTTCTTTGAAGCCTTTGTCAATGGTGATTGCCATTGATTCATGGTGTGTAAGTTATTGATTCATTGGGTGCAAGATTCATTTGAGCACATGTTCTCTCCTTTCTTCTTTCCTTTCTCTCTTCCTCTCTTCTTCCTTCCTTCCTTCCTTCCTTCCTTCCTTCCTTCCTTCCTTCCTTCCTTCCTTCTTCCCTTGCTTTCTTTGAAACTTTTGTCAATACTGGTTGCCATTGATTCAGTAGATGCAATGTCATTGATCAATGGGTGAAGACTTCTGGAAAATGCAAACTTCAGAGAACCACATTTGAGCAGGAGTTCTCTCCTTCTTCCCCCCCCCCCCCTTCTCTTCCTTCCTTCCTTCCTTTGAAGCCTTTGTCAATGGCGGTTAAGGATTTCAAGCTCCCTTATGTGTGTCCTCCCCAGTCTTCAGTCTGTCTCTCTTACCATTACGACACACCACTTGCTTTGTGGCCAACCTGACCTTGCTGCCACCCATGATCCCCAAAGTGAGTCAGTTCCCAGGAAATTAGACTATATACGGTAACTCCCACAATCCTCTTGACTTAAGGAGTTCTGGGCAGTGTAGTCCAAGCGAATAGATCAACGAAGCTCTATAAGAACATGGTTGGATGTGCCTTGATTCCACTCCCAACTGTACACACACACACATATATACAATGTATTCTGATGCCTTGTTGTCTCCCGATTTCTCGTCCCCGAAGGCATCTCTCCACTTTGAGAGCACCTCTCTAGCCATCCCTGACCTAGACCTGCTGGAGGGCAGGGAGGACTCCTTTGCCTCCTTCCGCTCTTCTCCTCGCCGCCATCTCCTGATACCTTCCCACAATGCCCTGGGAGGAGAGGCCGAGGTGACTGTATGGAAATCCCCGCTCTTTCTCCCATCATGCTTCGGTGCTGTGGTTGTGCCGTTGTCCTGGTGTCACCGTCGTGGTCCATGTCTTGCTGTAGCTTGTGGCCTCTCGTCTTTCTCGACTATTCCTTTGGCTTTCCTTCCATGGTGGCTGCAGTTACAGGGTTTATGGATCCATTGTTGCGGAGTGCCTACATTAACTACATACACTCTACATGGTGTAATATAAGGGCTTTACATTCTCTTGATCAGTGTTTCTCAACCTTCCTAATGCCACAACCCCTTAATACAATTCCTCATGTTTTGGTGATCCCCAACCATAAAATTATTTCATTGCTTCTTCATAACTGTAATTTTGCTACATAATGTAAATATCTGATATGCAGGATGTGTTTTCATTCACTGGACCAAATTTGGCACAAATACCCAATAGGCCCAAATTTTGACATTTGGCAGTTGTAGTTGCTGGGATTTATAGTTCACCTACAATCAAAGAGTATTCTGAACTCCGCCAACAATGGAACTGAACCAAACTTGGCACACAGAACTCCCATGACCAATAGAAAATACTGGAAGGGTCTGGTGAGGATTGACTTAGAGTTTTGGAGTTGTAGTTCACCTACATCCAGAGAGTACTGTGGACTCAAACAATGATGGATCTGGACCAAACTTCGCACAAATACTCAAATATGCCAAAATGTGAACACTGGTAGAGTTTGGGGGAAATAGACCTTGATATTTGGGAGTTATAGTTGCTGGGATTTATAGTTCACCTGCAGAATGCCGTCAAATAGCGTTCTGAACCCCACCAACAAGAGAATTGGGCCAAATTTCCCACACTGAACCCCCATGACTAACAGAAAATACTGTATTTTCTAATGGTCTTTGGCGACCCCTCTGACACCCCCTCACGACCCCCAGGTTGAGAAACACTGTTCTAGATGGACTAGAGTAGATTTATGTCATGAATACTTTTTGAACCTTGAAATATTCTTCAATCCATTTTCAGTGGGACAGAGTATCAGGCACTTTGAGAGAAAGAAGCAGACACACAAGCTCTAGTACTGGGTTTTATAACAGCTATAATGGTTACAAAGACCATATATACTGAGCATTCACTCACATACTTTCACATTCATATTCACCATCCCATCTCCATCAAGAGAAGAGAGGCGGCTGGACAGAATGCTGCATCCCTCACAGATCTGCCACACAATTGAAAAGGCAATGGGTCTCCTTATGTCACAATTTTTGGTTATCCATTACTCGGTTGTTTAGATTATCACCGTCATTCAGCTCAGACTTGCTGGTGCCCATTTGATCCCGGAATAGATAGATTGTTTAGCTTTCTTCTTAAAGTAACATTGTGTCTGACTATGTAAACAGGTGTGGTTGACACCAAAAAATTTCTGATCGGTTTCTGGATTTCTCATTAGAACTTTTCATGCCAAAGTTAATGAATTCTTCACCTCCTCCATAATGTCATTTTCAGGTTCCATTTTATTTACTTTTTGGATGATGTCTTCATTCTTGCTAGACCTTAATAGGTCCTAGCCAGACCCCAATCAGACAATTTCACTCAATCCATTCATCACATTTGTATGCTTGACTTGGTGAACTGAAGTTCTAATCAAACCATGTTATCACCTTATAAATGCCAAGCCGGTCATGGAAACTAACCTACCAACAGAGGAACCATACTGAAGGTGGCCAGAACATCCTCCACTTGCCCTCAACCCAACCCTGCCTCTGTCTCTCTCCTGCAGGACATTGCCCCCGGTCTCGGAGAGCCCCAGAACCTTCTCACCGTCCGCAAGATCTCAGTGGCCAGGATGCACTCCTTGCCCAACGACAGCTACATGTTCCGCCCAGTGATGCCTGCCAAAGCCCCCTTCCCGCTCCATGAAGCCGAGCTGGAGGCCTTCTCCTACAAGTCACCACGAGGTAAAACATAGCTTTGTAGGAGACAAAGTCCTAAAGCCTCCTGGTTGGTCTCAACCAGAGCAAATACATCGTCCTGGAGCTTGTTTCTGTTACCAATTAGAATAAACTCATTGAATCTATGCAATTTATCACAATGGGTCTGTCGTTGGGATTGTCCATAGAATTCAGACCATTGGGTCACTTGTTCAAATGGAGGGTGAATGTATAGCTTTGTTGTCGTTCACTGCCATCAAGCTGACCTCGACTTACGAAGACATCACAAATGAGAAACCTCCAAGTCCCCTTGTCCTCAAATGAAGTCTTCATTCTAATGCTTAGCCTAATCACTGATAAATCCCATTAATGTAATGCAAGGTGTTGGTGGTAAGATGGCTGGAACCCAAAGTGAGAAACACATCCAAGTACGGACCATTAAATCAACGAAACGTGGATATGTTTCTCATTATGGGTCCCAGCCGACCTCCCACCAACACCTTGTATTGGGTTCCTCCAAGAGCTCCATCATTGCTTGATGCTTCCAATAGCAATAATGTCCCTTCAAATCATAGAAAGGGAAGAGACCACATGGGCCATCCAGTCCAACTCCTTGCCAGGCAGGAAAAGCACCATCAAAGTACCATCAAAGTGGAAGGAACTCCACCAAACTCCAAGAGAAAGAGTTCCACTGTTGAACAACTCTTTAAGAAGTTCTTCCTCATGTTCAGGTGGAACCTCATTTTCTATCAGTTGACCCAGTGGCTCCATTGAGGTCTAGTTTCCAAGGCAGCAGAAAACAAGCCTGTTCTTCCTTTATTATGACAGCCTTTCAGATATTTAAACATGGCTCTCATGGCTTCTTTGAACCTTCTCTTCAGAAAGCTAAACTGACCCAGCTCTTTAAGTCAGTCCTCACTGGGATTATGCATGGCCTCCAGACCTTTGATAATTTTAGTTGCCCTCTGGACACCTTCCATTTTCAATATCTCCCATGAATTGTGGTGCCCAGAATTGGACACAGGGTTATTCTAGGTGAGGTCTGGCCAGAGCAAATAAAGGGGCCCCATGACTTCCCTTGATCAAGACACTATACTTCTTTTGAAGCAGCCCAAAATCTCATTGGCTTTTTGAGCTGCAGCATCACACACTTGGCTCATGTTCACCTCGTGGTCCATGAAGACTCCAAGGTCTCTTTCCCATGTAACTCTGTTGTCGAGCCAGGCCTCCCCCATCATGTATCTTCTCCTTCTTCCAGGCTCAATCACTTCGATTCATTCCCAACCAGTGGGGACCTGCTCCTCATCGTTGAGGGTCCCCCGGGACACTTTCCACCCAATGACTCCACCTCCGCACCATGAAGGGGTCCCCTGGAAGCTTCGCCCTCCGCAGCCACCACCATTATCTCCCAGCGTCCACAGGCTCCTATGCAGACAGGTGTGACTCCTTGACATTTAACAGTTCTCCTGCAACGAGTAGAAGTCGGCTGTGCTTCCTCAACACCCAACCTAAGGAACATCCCCTTGTCATCTTCTCTAAAGATGTCAATAGACGGATGGGTTAGCTGTTCTTTTTGACCCTAAGACCAACCTTTCATGGGGTTGTCTTCGCAAGACTCAACATTTGCTGTTGGGCACCCTGGTGGTGCAGCAGATTAAACCACTGAGCTGCTGAACTTGCTGATCAAAAGGTTGGCGGTTCGAATCCGGGTAGTGGAGTGAGTTTTAGGATAGTGATTAGTGCCTATTTGTCTGTGTATTTTGGGCTTTTTAAACTTTTATTGTTGATATGGTCAGTGGACTAATCGATAAACAGATTGATTGATCTATCTGTCTCAGTGGTTCCAACCATTTTTTGACCAGGGACCACTTTGACCAGGGGCCAATCTCCAACATTAGTACCAAAAGGGTTACAAATCAGTTTTTGGTCAACTTTAGATTTGGTTAGGTTATTTGGGGTGCCTATTCAGAAAACTGCATTGGATAGACCACATCAGCTCTAGTTTCTGATACAAAACATAGACCATCCAGTAGTCTCCATCTGCTGGCCCTCAGAAAACCGTATTTAATAAGCCATGGCACTATAAGAGGGTTCCATGAGACCAGTCACTTTCGTTGCAACAGTGTAGTAACAGTGAAGCCGTGGTCCATATTTTAGATCTTGCAGACCACTGGTTGTCCACAGACCACAGGTCGGGAACCACTGGTCTATCTACTCCATGGAGGCTGTAGGTTAGCTAAAAGTACTGTGTAGAATGCACAACTGCGATGCAAATTATAGGATGCACAACTACAGGGAATAATATAGAATGTACAACCATAGTGAAGATTCCAGCCCTATTCTATCCTCTAGTAATCCATTTTAAGGACATGGCACTTCTTTATTGGCTTCTCCCTTTGCCTTGCAGGAGGCGATCCAGAGGGATTCCTTGGAGAGCCAGGGGACGGATTCAAAGGAGAGCACACAAATGGATCCTGGTGAACCCCGCCGGCTGAAAAAGCCATCCCAAAGCTCATTGGGGCCCCCTTTGCTCCATCCGTCACCCTCGTTGTCCCTTCCGGGGAGCCCTCCTTTCCCGCACACTTCCCCACGTCGGTCGGCGAGCCTCCGCACCCGCAAACACGCCTTCGGTCAGCACAACCTCCCCAGTGATGACGGCCGCAACCCCAATGGCTCCCTCTTTGAGTCCTCGGACCTGGCCGATGAAGAAGTCAGCCACATCAACAGCTCGGCGGAGGGGTGGCGGGACAGAGTGGATGGCGGGGACCGATCCGAGTCCCCGCCTCCATCCCCTGCCCTCATTAAGAATGGTAGCACACCCAGCTTGACCACAGCTGGAGGAGCCAAAGAGAAAGACCTGAAGAAGTTCTACAGCGTGGACACCCGGGGCTTCTTGGCCAAGCCGACGTGGAGCGATGATCACCACCGGCGCCACTCCATCGAGATCTGCCCCTCCATTGCCGATGGGGACCGCAGCTTCTCGGAGCTGTCATCGTCAGAGGAGCGGAAACCCGTCCACTCCGAATCAGAATACATCCACGGGGCGCGCCGCAAGAAGAAGATGAGCCCCCCTTGCATTTCGATAGAGCCTCCCATGGAGGAAGAGAAGAACACTTCGGCCCGCACCAAAGCTTCCGAGAACAGCCTCTTGAGGAGGAGGACCCCCTCATGTGAGTCCACCGCGTACAGGGACCCTTTGGAAGCCTGCGAGAGCCAAACAGGGGACCCGAATGTCAAGGCCGAGCGCCGTGGGGGGCAAGCGTGCCGCGGGGAGCTTTTGGCGGTCCCCAACTTCTCCTTCGAGGTGTCAGATGGCCCTGTTTCAAGCGGCCTTTCCGAAGGAGGCTCGGCGGAGGGCCCCTCGTCAGATTTGTCTCCCGACGACGGCATCTCACTCGAACTGCAGAAAGCGGACCACTTAAAGATAGAAGTGGGACTGCGGGGGTCGGGCCACGAGGCTCGGAGCCCCCTCCGGAGACACGGACTCGTCGCGGCGACAGACGGAGAAGTGGACGAACCGGTATAGCTCCTGGCGTTGAGTCAGGGGTGACGTTTCAAAGGGCTTTTCTTGCCACCGCAAGTGGCTTTGAAGTGGGAGGAAAAGGTTGGAGAATGTCACAACTCCGTGATGGGACGTTTCGTTCCCCCTCCAAAAAAAAAAACCACAAATATTACTTGCCTCTCTTTTTCTCTCTCTAACTTTTCAGCGCTGTGAAGGTTTTGTTGTGGATGTTTTCCAATAAAATCAAAGAGCAAGCTGGCTTTTTATATAAAAACAAACAAAAACAAAGCAAGGTTCAGGGTCAAGAAAGGCGGCTTTGCGCTCCCCTTTCTGAGCATCAAAACACACGCAGAGTAACTTTTCCGATTTTTCCTTCTCTCTTACTCTCCCTTCCCCGGCGTGGCCTCGATCACATTGATTTGGGTTTTGAGCCTTTATCTTATTTTTTAAAGATAATAGAATAATAATAGAATTTGCAAAAAAAAAAAAAAGAAGACTTTTTCGAACTTTTCGAAATGGCACCTTTTGGTTAGGATTTATTGCACGGAAGGTTGTTTTTGCAAGAAAGTGCCCCCGGGAGATGCGAGTTGTATATTGTCTGTATATCAGCAGTTCATTATCAATAGAAAATAATGTATTCGATTTTTTTTATAAAGGGTAAAACTGAAAAAAAAAAGGAAGGCAGACACGCAGGCACAATGGTCCCGCACACGCAACATACATCCCCATTCACGCCAACATTTTCCCTCATTATCATGCACTTGTTTTATAGAGAACGGTAGACCCGATCCAAATCCAGTTATTTGCATTATCCCTTCGAAGCCCATGGAAAAACTCAGGTTGCAACCGACTTCATCCTATGACTTCCGAAAGAACAGACAGGCCACTGGAGTGGAAACCCTTTTGCAATACTGGGTTGTTGTAGATTTTTCGGGCTATATGGCCATGTTCTAGAAGCATTCTCTCCTGACATTTCGCCTGCATCTGTGGCAGGCATCCTCAGAGGTTATGAGGTCGGTTGGAAACTAGGCAATTGAYGTTTATATATCTGTGGAATAATGTCCAGGGTGGGAGAAAGAATTKTTGCCTACTTGAGGCAAATGTGAATGTTGCAATTYGCCACCTTGATTAGCACTGAATAGCCTTGCAGCTCCAAAGTCTGGCTGCTTCCTGTTTGGGGGAATCCTTTGTTGGGAGGTGTTAGCTGGCCCTGACTGTTTCCTGTTTGGAATTCCCCTGTTTTCTGAATGATGTTCTGAATGGGCTTGCAGTTTCAAAGCCTGGCTSCTTCCTGTCTGGGGGAATCCTTTGTTGGGAGGTGTTAGCTGGCCCTGATTGTCTCCCATTTTTGACATTCCACAGATATATAAACCCCACTTGCCTAGTTTCCAACAGACCTCTCAACCTCTGGGGATGCCTGCTATAGATGTGGGTGAAACGTCAGGAGAGAATGCTTCTGGAACACGGCCATATAGCCCAAAAAAACCTACAACAACCCAGTGATTCCGGTCATGAAACCCTTTGACAATACCTTTTGCAATAGACCCAATCCAGCTAAAATGGCCCAGTTATCTCCCACTGAAGCACAGTAAATTGCCCCATTTGATTGATGGGGGTTTAGTGATATTTCCCTTCTTTTTGGAATACAGTTGGGGAACTTTCTGGATGATTTGGGGCCAAAAATGGGCCAAACATCACTTGGAGTGTTAGAGACATACATATATGTGTCTGTGTATTATATATACCCTGTTTCCCTGAAAATAAGACAGGGTCTTGTAGTAAATTTTGCTCCAAAAGATGTGTTAGGGCTTATTTTCAGGGGATATCTTTTTCCTCAAATTGATATATTTTATTTAATTGTAACTGGGCTTACTTTTGAAGCAGAGCTTATATTTTGAGCATCCTCACTAATCTTGAAAAATCATGCTAGGGCTTATTTTCACAGTAGGTCTTATTTTCTGGGAAACGGTATACTAGCTTGGATATTCAGCACTGCCTGGATTTTACAAAATGCATAAAGTTGTGGGTGAACTACAACCCCCTGAAACTCCATTAATACTTCATTGATCATGTTAGGAAAGTTTGCTCTAGATGCATCATAAGTGGGGTTCCGTGTGTTCTCTGGCTGCAGGGTAAACTACAACTCCCACTATGGTGAGTTGGTCCCTTCAAACCCCTACAGTAGGTTCAGTTAGTCATGGTGGTTCTGTGTTCTAAGTCTGATCCAGCTCCATCATTGGTGGAATTCACAGTTTCTCTAGTTGTAGGTGAACTACAACTCCCAAAATTCAAGGTCAATCTCTCCCAAGCCCCTCCAGTATTCAAATTTGGGCACATTGGGTATGTGTGCCAAGTGTGGTCCAAATCTATCATTGTTTGGGTTCACAGAGCTCTCTGGATGTATGTGAACTACAACTCCCCCAAATCAAGGTAAATTTCCTGCAAAACCCTCTAGTATTTTTTTTTTGTTCTATGTGCCAAGTTAGGTCCAGGTCCATCATTGGTGGGGTTCAGAGTGCTCTTTGATTGCAAGTGAACTATAAATCCCAGTACCTAAAATTGCTATAAATCAAGGTCAATTCCCCCCCTCTGTTTGTTATGCAGACAGAGTTGAAAAGGATAGGAAAGGCTTAAGGGAGAGGTAGTGGGCGGGATCGTGCAAATTCACACCAATGGAGAGAGTAAGAAACACTGGGATGTCTGTGGTGGAGGACACACAGAAAATCTAAAATGATATTGTCCCCATATGAAAGCCTTCACTTGGGTGGTGGGCAGGATGGTGTTCGTGGATGACATTGTCAGGGGTTGGTGGCTCCTCACAGATGGGGTTTTTTAGCTGTTTGTGGAAGTGGGAGCCTGTCTGTGAAAGTGGGCACCCCAATCACACACACACACATACACACATATTTTCACTTTTATTATGGAGATAGATAGATAGATAGATAGATAGATAGATAGATAGATAGATAGATAGACTAAATGGAGATAGATAGATAGATAGATAGATAGATAGATAGATAGATAGATAGATAGACAGATAGACAGATAGATAGATAGACTAAATGAATGCTTTGGGGCCAAAAATGGGCCCAAAACTACCAAGTACAAAAGTTCTTCCACACAAAACTCCATGTGATTTGGGTTCATTTTTGCCTATGTGTGTATATATACATATGTGAGCATATATGTACATACATATATGTACATACACACATACTCACACATATACATCAACAGTCAATCCAGTGACATCACAAAGGGCCACTGCATTGTTATTGTCATCAACAGCCTTTATGGCACAGCACACACACACATATTTTTACACACACACACACACACCTATATATATATATATATATATAGGTAGGTGTGTGTGTGTGTGTAAAAATATGTGTGTGTGTGCTGCACCATAAAGGCTGTTTATGGTGCAGCACACACACACATTTTTACACACACACACACACACACARARARARARARARARARARATATATATATATATATGTATATGTATATGTATATGTATATGTATATGTATATATATCCACACATACATACACACGTATATGTCTCCGGAGCCCCCAGTGGTGCAATGAGTTAAATTCTTGTGCTGGTAGGACTGCTGACCAAAAGGTCAGCGGTTCAAATCCAGGGAGTGGAGTGAGCTCCCATCTGTCACTCCAGCTTCGCACGAACATGAGAGAAGCCTCCCACAGGATGGTAACACATCCGGGCATCCCCTGGGCAACATCCTTGCAGATGACTAATTCTCTCACACCAGAAGCGACTTGCAGTATCTCAAGTCGCTCCTGACACTATACATGTATGTGTGTCTCCAAAGTCTTGATGTGAATATAATGGATAAGATTTCAGCCGGAGATACTACTAACTTTAGCTGGATTTGGGGCCTCCTCTGTCGAATGAATGCAGTTTGACCCTGTTTGAAGTGCCACAACTCAATGCTATGAGATGGTGGGAGTCGTAGTTTGGTACTTTTTGAACTACAACTCCCAGCATCACATAACATTGAGCAATGGTGGTTGAAAGTGGTGCCAAACTGCATTAATTCCACTGTGTAGACGCACTCGATAACGCACCTATCCCAGACTTCGTTGACCTCAGTGGAGAATGAACCATGATGTTGTCTACTGTTCTCTTTTCTTTTCTTCAGCCCCAATATATACCTCTTTTTCCTCTCCCGTTTGCATCCTTCAAGCTTCCTTCACCTCAGTGGACCTTTCCAATGTCTTTTTTGGCATCTCATTCTCCGCCTCGTTTCCATTTCGCTCGACAGTGGAACAACAAAAACCAAAATTACTACTGAATTGTAGCCAGTGCAATAACAGAAATAATGTGATTCTTATGGGTACCAAACCTGTCCTTTTGCTGATGATTTTTTTTTTAAATGTATAATCCAATGAGGTTGGTTGGCTGGTTGATTTTCACTTTCTTCAAAAAGACAACCTTTCCCTTCTCTGTTTTCTTACGGAATTCAGGTTAAATGTCGCAATAATCTGAACTGTTCAAAGTGCACAACGAGGGAGGGAGGAAGGAAGGAAGGAAGGCGAGGGAGGTTTGTTTTGTTTCCCGATGTCTAGGGGAAAATACAAAAAAAAAAACCCACAAATAAATAGTAAATTATTTAACAATGACTTGTTTTGTTCGCTGTTCTCAAGAGAGTCCTCCAAACCATGCAAAACTCACGTCGCATCATGTCTAGAAAGCAGGTGAAGTGTGCAAAGACATCCCTGCTGCATAATTCACATTGTGGTAGTTGATTTGATCTACCAATATACTGACCTCTTGTGGTTGCATCTGAGTGCTGCATACATACATAGAGACTAATAGCTAATCCTTTCTATCTATATACTGCCCTCTTGTGGTTGCATCTGAGTGCTGCATACATACATAGAGACTAATAACTAATCCTTTCTATCTATATACTGCCCTCTTGTGGTTGCATCTGAATGCTGCATACATACATAGAGACTGATAGGTAATCCTTTCTATCAGTATACTGCCCTCTTGTGGTTGCATCTGCACACTGCATATTTACATAGAACAATAATAGCTAATCCTTTCTATCTATATACTGCCCTCTTGTGGTTGCATCTGAGCTCTGCATATATACATAGAGACTAACAGCTAATCCTTTTTATCAATATACTTCTCTTTTGTGGTTGCATCTGAGCACTGCATATATACATAGACACTAATAGCTAATCCTTTCTATCTATATACTGTCCTCTTGTGG